TTTTATTTTTTGAATTTGTTTTTGTTAGCACCTGCAAGCATTAGAGCTGGGCTTAGCGCCTCCTCAGCATTGCAGATGCTCTGTAGGCTAGGTCACTGTAGCAACTTGTCCATCTGTCCCCTGTAAATAATGCAAATAATGTGCTCTGCTCCATTGTCCCACTGTGTAGATAGTGCATAGTGTGTCAGCCATCTGTGCATCACTGAGAGTCTCGGACAGAGGGCATGTTTTGGGGAGTGGATTGTGGCAAGTGTATCGTGGAATGCTCCAGCAATGGAGCATTCTGTGACATTGCTGTGTCTGTGCTAGAGGGGCAGCTCAGTGACATTCAGTTCCTGGCACTGAAGAGATGGAGTTTGCTGTTTGCCCAGAACTTCTGAACCAAAGCTTGAAACAAGAGGACTGCTGATATTAATTGCTGGGGCTTATGTGAGACTCAGGGAATACTTACAGGGGCTGAGAGTCTGCCTTTCTGTAGTTGAAAAATTTAAGCTGCTTCTACCTTGTCCTAATTAAATGCCTTTTGATTGTATGCTCTAGGAAGGTAATGTATGATTTTCCCCCACTTCTTCCCTTCCTACACAGCACAGGATATGACAGAGATCTGGGAAAGGAATTCCTGCATGATGATTTTCTACAGAAATCTCCCTCTTCCACTTCTCTTCAAATGGTTGCTTGTGGTAGCCATTCCCTTGCTTGTGTTGAAGAACATTCTTTCTTTCACGTGAAGAAGTATCAGCTTTATTCAGATACATGTTGGAGAAAGTTTAAGGCCTTGACTCCCAAATTTCTTTCACATGAAGTATCAGCTTTATTCAGATACATGTTGTTAGAGTATCAAGATTTGCTTTTTCCAGCTGGGTCCAGACACTTCCAGAAACTTTGAGAGTTCTCCTAATCTCCATGAGTTTTTATCTAATGTTCTGGTATTTCTCTAAATTTCTGAGCAATATACTCCAGAAGTCTTCTCATGGGAGATCTTAAAAGAACAGGTAAGAAGACAGAGTGAGGAAGGACATGAAACCCAGGGTGCTGAGATGAAGGGACTTTGAAAGTTTGTAGCCTAAACTACCTTGTGAGAGTTGGAAGGATCACTGAACAAACTAAACATGCTTCTGGTGTGTCAGCAGTTCTGAATGAGAAGCTGTCATTAGCCCTTGATGTAGTCTGTGCTAAAGGTGGTTTGGTAAATGACCTTTTGCTGAGCTGGCTCTTGTGCCATTTCAGGTGTAGCCATTAATGGTGGTTCTATGCTTTGTATGTATTAAAAAGCTGGTGCTCATTTCCTGGTCAAAATCTCCCCTGGGTATTTTTATTCTCCATTAACATTCCTTCTGGGGATTGAATTCTGGTCCTTTGCTTCCTGTCCTGTTCCTGTTCAGATGTTAATCAGCTGTTGCATTCTATTCCAGTTACATGTTAGTGATGCTAGCATTTCTTGGTCAATGTTGACCAGTCCTGGCTTCTATAAAAGAATTAGGGAAGCTAAGCTACTCTTGACACAGCAGAGAGTAGATAATAAAATGCACATTTAAGGGCGTGGAGTGCAACTGAATTATGGGACTGAGATCTTTGTATTGTGGAAGGAGAGAGCAGGACTGTAAGAAAAGTGTGATTCTGATATTTTTAAGAGAATTCTGCATGGTGCAGTGGATGTGACTGATACATGATATGTCCTGTGGTATTTCCATTCAACAGGAACTATGTATGACTGGAGTCCAGGGGCTTCATTTTCTTTGGAAATGTGTTAGGTGTTAAGTAGGGCTTGTTACATGGACTGTTGTTCAACAGCTAGCCTGATCCCTTTTTCTTGATAGCTTTTGGAATTGTTCCCATGCAGGGAACAGAGGTTTCTGCCTAAGTCAAGGTTAATTGGTATGGAAAAGCAGGAATGAGCAATAATCCTCCTGAAATTCTATTTTAATCCAAGAGTCCCTATAATGCTATTACTCAGATCTGAATCGTGAGCATTAACATACAAGCAGAACTGAGATGTGAGTCTGCATTGGAGCTGTCATCCTTTTATTTTAAAAATGAGCTTCAACATAGCCAGCAGTAGAAGGGATCTGAGCATTCTTTTGAGATGCCTTCTCTGAATGAAAAGATCTCTCTCATTAAATGTTAAAGGGCCCTTTAATAACCTTGCAGTCCTTTTCTATTGTGCTTGGCACCAGCAGTCTACAGGTGCTGTTTTTAATTTCACACAGCTTGTTTTTGTGTCCTGGACAAGCATCCCTTGGTGCAGTTATTGCATTGTCCATCTCCCTGGTTAGTTGTCTTGGTCAGGCTTTCTGCAGCAGCTTCTCAGGTAGTCTGGCTTGGGACTTCTGAAATGTAAGGTTTCCTCTATCCATAAGCACAGGAAGGCAACTAGACAAAACTCTTGTGTTTGCTTTTCATGAAGTTAGTCAGGAAATATTGATACCTCCTAAAGCAGGATGTGCCAATATCCTGTATTGGATATGCATGCAAAATATAGGTTGGCCCACAGAGAGCAATATTCCAGATTAACTGTGGTGATCAGATCTATGTCACAGGACATTTGGTTTTGTTACTTGTAGGTATTGTACCTGCAAGTTTTTGGAGTGTGCTGACACTGTTAGCCACAAAAAAATCTTTCTGTAGTGTTGCATTAGAAACAAATGTGACTGTGATTGTGTTATGGAATGTATTTTTTCATTAATACAATTTTATCTTTCTGAATAAACAGCAGTGCTAAAGAAATGCTGCTGTTAAGAGGAAAAAGCTGGAAAGGTGATACAGTACCTGAAATAAGAAACTGTATCTGCATCATAATCACTGTATTTCTCTTGAGGAAGGGACCCTGCTGGCCCTCAGCAGTGGTAAGAAGGCTGTTTTATAAGGTCAGAAAAGGCAACACAGGAGAAGGTGATGATGAGGAAACGCCTGCAAGTCCTCTGCCTCTTTGCAGGGAGTGTTCAGCTGCTGCAACTACAAGCAGGCAGAAGTTGTGTGCATCTTAGAACCCAAGTGTTGGCTACCTCAGGCCTCAAGGGACTTGCCAAATATGAGGAAGACACTAGGTGCCTATAAATGTTGCCTTTTTTATTTCTTCTGTTCTTTCCCTTTTTGTCCAAAGCATTCCTGTTTGAACCTTCCTTTCTCTGCTAGGGACCTCTTTCTTGTTACTGGAGATAAAGCAATGCTCATGGGTGGTGGTGTGGTTTTGTATGCATGCCAAGTGGCTGTTTATTCTGTAGAAGGCCCACAGAACTGTCTTAAGCAATTCAGTGTGAGATGACATCTATTTGTGGTGTGTGGTAAAGGTTTTGGCTTTCTCAGATCACACAGAGAACAGAGCTACCCTGCAAGTGGATTTCACACTGAGGGGTGCTCCCTGGCAAAGTCAGCTAGAGTCAAGCCTGTGTGCTGCCTGTGCAGCTGCACCCTGTCACAGTGTTGTGGTTAATCCCAGCTGGCAGCCAAGCACCACACAGGCACTTGGTCATTCTCCCCTCTGCTCCCAGGGGGATGAGGATAGAACTGGAAAAAAGTAAAACTTGTGGGTTGGGATTAGAGCTGTTTAATAATTTAAATAAAGTAAAATATAGTAACAATTGTAATGGAGAGAGGGGACTAAAACCCAAGAAAAACAAGGGATGCACGATGCAGTTGGTCACCACCCACTGAGCAATGCCCAAGCAGCAGTTGGCCCTTCCCAGCAACTCCCCCCAGTTTATGTACTGAGCATGGTGCCATTAAGTATGGAATATTCTGTTGCTTCTTTTGAGTCAGCTGTCCTGACTGTGCTCCCTCTGAGCTTGGTCAGCTGTCATGACTATGCTTTCTCCCAGCTTCTCATGCACCTTGTCACTGGAACAAGAAACTGAAAATTCCTTGAGTTAGAGTAAGCACTGCATAGTAACAGCTAAACCATCAGTGTGTTAACAACATCATTCTCATCCCAAATCCAAACCACATAACTGTACCAGTTACCAGAAAGAAAATTAACTCTGTCCCATCTGTAACCAGGACATGGTGTCCCTCTGAAGAAAGAGTTTGTGTGTTTTGTCAGTGTGAGCCTTGTGGCCCTTAGTAAGCCATTCCAGTGAAGCTGTCAGTGACCTAAGAAATCCTACTGGAACAACAGTGGGTAATAGCTAGAAGACAATAGACTTGCTACTGCAGGTGATAGACTGGTAGAAAGATGACTGTAAATGCTAAGGAGAATTATTGATGAGAGGTGGAAAGGATGGATAAAAAGAACTAGGAGTTTTAGTTTCCTCTTGTATTACAGTGCTAATTGAAATAGCTGAAGAGCTGCCTTCTGCTGTAGCTCCAGGCTAAAATTGAGCTTCTGCAGGGTAGTCTTAATGTGGACTTGACAGCAAGCTCCTTCAGAGAGAGACTTGTGAATAGTGTGATGAGCAGAATTAGTGCCTTCTTCTATTTCTGGATATTACCTATATCCAGTTCTGCTTTGGAGCAGAAGGTCCATCTGTTCTGCAGAGAGTATCTGCTCCTCTCTGAACAGAGGTGTGGTGAATCGAACCACCTCGGGATTCTCACTCTGTGGCAGCAAGAGATGCTCAGTTATTGTAGATGAGGAGGCCTTTGCTGTGCTGTTCACTGCAGGGATGTCTGCAAAACAAAATTAGGTTTGTGTGGAAGAGTGGTTGGAGCAGAATGACAGCAATTGGATTCTGGATGGTGGACAGGAATGCAGGTGGGGAAGCAGGGACCCCTGGAGCTATGTAGAAAAACCAGCTGCCTTTCCATGGTCAGTTACTGGTCTGCACAGGCATCCTGCTTGGTGGAGAGATGGTTAAAAGACCTGTGCTTTCTGGGATGCAGTGAAGACTTGGAGCTTTTACAGTGAAGGCATTTTACCTGGCATTAGATAGTGGTCTGATGGTGCAGCAGTTTGCTGTTGACTTCTGCCCTGTCACCTGGCTATGGGTTGCTCTGAGCATGCCTGGTTGTTTCCATGTTTTGTGCTGATAGGTGACTGACACCAAGTTTCCTTTCTCATGTTTCAGGAGCTGTTGGCCAGATGCTGCTGAATACTTACAGGAGAAAGCTGATTCGGAGACAAACGACCAGAAATGTTTGGACACGTCGTCACTTTGGATCTGTAAGTCCTTGTTTGAGGGAAAGTTGCCTGGCAGCCCTGTGAGTTTTTAACTATCTATGGAAATTCTCAGATCATGAGGGTAGATTTCAAATCCTGTATCTTTTCCAGGTAAGTGGGGATGAGATGGCAGGTAGCATAGTTGCTGCCTCTAGGGTAGGAAGCAGGAGAGTTCTGTTTGAGCCTGAGGAACAGTGTGCTGGGAGACAGGGAGGCCTTTGGCATGTTTGTTCTGAGCACAGCTGCAGTGGAAACATGCATGGACCCATGGGTGCAGCTGTTCCTGGAAACCTCTGTCTGTCTGCCATGTGGCTGGTGGTTACGCCGTGATGCTGAACCAGCTTCTGCTGGGAGTTGATGGAAAGCAGATTCAAGCTATACTGGTCTGATCCTTCCTGGAGGTGCATTTTCTCCCTTTCTTTCTCCTGTCATAATTTGCAGTTTGCCCCACAGAGCAGTTCCACTGCTGTGAAGCTGTTTTTCTGTGTGCTAGTTGAGACCCGACTCCAGCATTGTAGCAAGGAAAGTGGCCAGACAGCTTGTTGGGGCAGGGCCAGAACTTCAATTTGTTTTGGCAGAACTTGATTTTGCATGGTTCTGGTTGCCTGCTTGTTCCTTTCACCTTCAGTCTGACTCTCCCTGCATGTGTATAGCTGCTCCACACCCTGCCTCCTGTCCCACCTCCCAGGGCTTCATGCCACTGACATGGAAAAAGTAGCACAGCAGCAATAGTGCTTCAGGGAAAGGAAGGCTTCACTGAAGTCTTTACTCTCATGCCAGTGGCAGAGTGATGGCTACAAAGCTACTCTCTTAGCTGACTAACCCAGATTAACCCAACTCTTTTCTTGTAGTGATGGGTACCTGTTGTGGTTTGATTTCCACTGGCAACTAAGCATCACAAAGCTGTTGGCTCACTTCTTACCCCTCAGTGGAATGGGGAGAGATTTTGGAAAGAAGTAAAATTTTGTTGGTTGAGATACTGACAGCAAAATGGGACAGAAAAGGAAGGGATCATAATAAAATAAGTAGAATATACAAAACAAGGGATGCACAGTGCAATTGCTCACCACCTGCTGACCAATGCCCAGCCAGCTCCTGAGCGGTGGTGCATGGCCACCTTTCCCCATAGTTTGTGTACTGACCATGATACCATATGCTATGGGACATCCCTTTGGACAGTGGGGGTCAGCTGTCCTGCCATGTCACCTCTCAGCTTCTTGTGTCCCTCATCCTACTCACTGATAGGGTGAGAAGCTGAAGAATCTTTGCTTTAATGCAAACACTGCTTAGCAACATCTAAAACATCAGTGTGATATCAACATTATTCTCATCCGAAATCCAAAGCACAGCACTTGTTAGCTGTTAGGAAGAAAATTAACTCTATCCCAGACAAAACCTCAGTTAAATACCCCAGGCTTTGACCAGAGAGGAAGGTTGTGTCTGTTCCTGTTTCGTATCCATGGTTGGCTGGATATTTTACAGAAGTCTGTTAACAGCAAGGTAGAGTATGATATATTGCTTGATGGCAATCAGAGAGTAGCTTGCTCTCCTCCCTTGTGGAGATGTGGGTTATCACAGCTCTAGGCACAAATGTTTTGGCTCAAACAAAAGCCTGATAATTGTCAGCTCATTTGTGGGTGAAAAACACTGACTTAAAAGGGTGAGTGAGATAATTGTTAGCATCACCAAACTTCTGTACTGAAGGCTTCACAGTTAGCATCTCTCTGCAGTGGCAGGGAAGATTAGCTGGGAGGGTCCCATTCTAAAGGAGGTTTGTTTAGTCCTTTCTGGAACCAACGTTGCTTTGAAGCCATTGCTTCATGAATTTTGAGTTTATGTGATTCCAGTTGCCCGAGTGCCTTGAATATTTCCTTGCCATGTGCCTTTCTGGCTCTTGCTGGGCTGTGTGGCCAGGTATTTGTAAGTTCATTTTCTTTACTTTCAGAAGATCTGATGTGGGTTGAGGCAGGTATCTGGAATGAGGTGGCCATCCCAGTTGTGCTTGGCTATAAATATTCCCTATGCATTACATATTTATGGAATGAGATTTCAAGCTGGCTGTTTTGGTGGATGCTAAGCTATTGGTTTCTCTTCTTCAGGTCATCTGAGTGAGTGTCTTGACTTCATGAGGCTTTGAATTTAAGCCCAGGCTGGTAAGTGCTCATATCCTTATGAACTAGAGAAATGATTGTGATTTCATCTGGGCATATCTTCATGCACATCTCCTGTCCTTAGCCTGGCAGAAATTGACAGAAGCGTCCCCTAGATCACCTGTTTGATAGCGGGCCATTTACAAACCTTCTTCTGGCTTTTCATTTTGAAAGAGAGAAATGTCTTCCCAGCAAATCAGACCTATCTCTTTGCTTAGGAATACAGTGAAATGTGTGTTCACTATTATGGATGTAATTTTTCTAAAATATTAGAGATCTCTGCATCTACTTGAGTCTTCTTAGGAAAAGGGACTTTGAGGGAATGACTGCAGCAGGGGAAGTTCCCAGCATTCTGATAAGAGAGATTTACAGGTTAGTCCTAGGAAGTTTTGTGTTTGTGGAAAGGTGTGAGAAACTTTTGTGAGCTCGTGTTTATAGCAGAGTGAAGGATGGCTTGCAAATGTACCTGTGAAGTGTAAAGCCTGTTATGGCTTGGGACTGCTCTGTGCTTGGTGCAGACACCTCCCACTTGCCTTCCTCTCGGGGAACTCTGGGTGTCAAAAGAGGCAGCTAGATAAGAATTGGAGAGAATTCTCAAGGCTTTGTTTAGACTCTTACCATGTAAAACGCCACTGTCCAACACACAAAGCGAGTGAAGTCTGCTTGTTCCAGGCCCTGTGCTAGCCATCGACTCAGGTATGTAAAAGGAAGTTGTGTGGCCCTGCTTGTTGAAGTGGGGAGAGAGTGTGATCTGAGTGGACACAGGTCCTGCACTTTGAAGGGCTGCAGGTCAGTTGCTGAGTGTAGGGTCTTGCAAGGGGAATAAGAATTTGGCACTTACTCCAAATAGGACAGCTATGAATGATGCATATGTTGTTGTCACTGAGGAAAGTCTGGTACTGGGCTCTGCAGCACCTGATTGATAGCTCTGAGACTTCTTGTCTTGTGTACAGCAGGGTGGTTGACATTTTGGGTGCTTGTAGGGAAGTCTTCCTGCCCTCAACTGCAGACCTAGAAGATGGAAAGAAAGGTGTTTTTCCACGTATACAAGACAGCTGCTTTTGTTCTACCCTGTTTTTTGCTCTTGTACTGTTCCGGCAGCAGGAAGAATCTCAGCATAGCTAGGGTGAGGGAACAAATATTTCCACTAGTGGTACAGCTTCATGTCTGCATATTGTGTACTTATTCCCTCTAGGGGTGGTGAGGCACTGGAACAAGTTGCCTGGAGAGGTTGTGAACTCCTCATCCCTGGAGGTTTGAGGCCAGCCTGGATGGGGCTCTAAGAAACCTGGTCTAGTGGAAGGTGTCCCTGTCCATGGCAGGGGCGTTGGAATGAGATGATCTTTAAGGTCCCTTCCAACCCAAACCATTCTGTGATTCTGTGTTGCAAAATCTGGCCTTAAATACCAAGGCGTCAAAACCATTACTCCCTAATTTGATGCCACCTGTGACTTGGGGGTTGTCTTTTCTGCCAGAGTAATCAGTTCTCCTCCTAACAAATCTCGTGTGGTCTGCTGCATTAGTCCCAGTGTAAGCCAAAAAATTCTGGGCTCTTTAATGGCTGAAGTCTCCTCCCACACAGTCCCTGCTGACAGTGACAGGACATGATCAATAACTCCTGCTCCAGCTGTCAGTGCTGCCTGTAAGGCTTGCAGTTTCCATATTGAAAAAGGCCTTTCCTAAAGAGCCTAATCAATATGCTGCTGTGAGGTCTGTTCTCATTTGCTATATATAATCCGGACACACAACTACGTGAGTGAGCGTGTGTAGAGGGGGGAGAGGATGTGCCAGCCCTCTGCTCTCCCTAGCTGGGAGAAGGACACAGCTGCCTCTTACTTTGCTCCCTCTCCTGCAGCTGCTGCTCAAGGCTTGTGGCTACATCCTTTACCTGCTCTATTAGCACTCTGCATGGGGACCTGCTCCGGGACTTCAGGGGAGCCAAATTCCTGCTGGGTCACTTCCAGGGTTCGATGGAGCAGCTGCAAGTCTCTGTTCTGTGCCCTTTCTGCTCTTGGTAGGTAACCTGCTTTCGAAGCCGCGCAGGTGGGAGGATGTCGAGCACAGCCCCGTCAAAGAAGCCTTACCGCAAGGCGCCCCCGCAGCATCGCGAAATCCGACATGAGGTGCCCATCATTCGTGACGACCAGGACGGAGTGATCTTGGCTGAGCAGAGTCAGGTAACAACTTGCCGGGTGACAAAGGGCTTAACACCATTGCACCAGCAAATAGGGTTTAGTTACACCGAGGCAGGCCAGCTCGAGCAGGCAGAGGGGTTTGAGGTTTGCAACCTGAACTTCTCCTCATCGTGGTCCCTGGAGTCCAGCAGTGAGAAGGAAGTGGCAGGGTGCAGAGCAGAGTTGAACGTCAAGAGCCAGACTGTCTCTCCAGCACTTCAGCGTGGTGGGAAGATGGGGCAGCGAAGTGGGAAGCGGTGCCCGAACCGCAGTCGTGGGCACCGCAGCAAATTTGTGAGCCGTAGCATGGAGACAGTTCTGGTGTCTGGAGATGAAGGACACCATCCCACTTGCTCTTTCAAGAGCAGAAGCCTGGAACGCTCACTTATATTTAAAGAGCCTCCTGAAGTCCTGACACCGAGGAAGTTCTGTGTCTCCTCTACACACCTGCCTCTCAAAGGGATCCTGAAGCAGACCAACATGACTGGCTCATGCCCTGAGAGCTTATGCAAGTCCCGCTCAGTAGAGACACTTTGCCGTGGTCGTGGCTCACGCAAATGCAGTGATCCTCAGCTCTGCCTCAGCCCTAGGGAGAAGCGCTCCCTGGAGCAAAGCAGCAGCAGGGCCCCTGCCTCTGTCAAGCGCAGGGAGAAGATCACAGAGGAAAAACTGCAGTTCTCCAAATTCCTGGATGAGATTACCCAGCGGGTGCTGAGTCCCTACCGCTTGCGCTCACTGGGAGAGACCAGGGGAGCAGAACAAGACCAGACCTCTCCCCTTTTCCCCAGAAGCTCCGTGCCAGAAGGCCAAGGGGAAGGTCGCCTAAAAGGGGTCAAAACCAAGCATGCAACTGAAAGGTCCCCCTGCCCAAGCAGAAGAAAAGCAGAAAAGAAAAGTGAGGGGCTGGGAATGGCTTCGGGCCAGAGAAAGTATGCTGAGGAAGCTGAGAGAGTTTCCAGACTAAGAAAGAAACCTGTCCTTGGGAGGAAGGACAGTAAGGGAAAACTCCTTTCCTTGGAGAGAAGGGTAGTAGATCTGTGTCAGTATGAGCTGCAGCAGCTGGCAGACTTGGGGCTGGCAGGGACATCCTCTGGGCAGCAACATTCACTGTCTTCATGGAAAAGCAGTGCAGAGGGCAGAAGGGATGAAAGCAGTCCCTGTTCACAGCTATTACAGCCACACCATCAGTGTGCTAAGCTTGGGCAGAAGCATACAGTGGAGCCGAACTACCCAGAGAAAGGATCCTGCTCCACTCCAACATGCTGGAGTCGGGAGGAGGGGCCTACCCCATCTAGATCCTCCCCTTCCTTCAACCTGGCACTAAACAAGGTAGGTGCCAGGGTCACCAACTTGCAGGCAGGGCTCTCACAAAGGCCAAACCCCTACCTGGATCTCATCTAGTCTGTAATGCCAGGGCAGAGACTGAGAGCAGGCCCCCAGACCTCGTGTTGTGGGTGCTTAATCATCAGAAGTTGCTCTCTTGTGGGAGCCACTCATGGCTGTGCTAGAGGCTGGGTATATAGTCCTGGGAGTAACCAGCTTCCCTTTGGCCCCAGGAGTTAAGGAAGGTAGAAACTGGTGCTGTTCTCCCCACTGCAAACTTCCCAGGTGTTTGCTGGTTGGAGGCCCTTCAGGCTGCTGACTAGTAGGTGTGTGCAGGAGGCAGGCAGCTCCATTGTCAGGAGGTGCTGGGATGTTCCTAGTGCTTTGTGTGTGCCCCGTGCCTGGCTGCCTCAGCATACTTGATTTTTGTATGATGGCTATTTCAGGTCGTTTAAGCTTTCTCCTCTTTTCTCTAGCCTGCTTTCAGGCAATGCCATTACCCTGTATTAATAGGAATCACATTATCCCCTTTGCCTGGTCACTATCATCTGCTGTTTGTGTATATGTGGGGGCAGGGGAGGCAGTTAATCAGAATTAACCAATTGCCATGTGGAGTCAGGAGGTAAGAAAAGAATAGATTGATGCTTTGCCCTTAGGAACAGGAGGGTAAACACAGGTGTTAAAGACCTTTCTTTTAAAGTGTGAATTAATAAAGAAAGCAGTCCCATGATGTCTTAAGGCCAGAACTGGGATGGTGTACTTTATGGAATTGTTAGCAGCTCAACAGCCTTGTCCTTGGCTGTCTGACATGGTCTCTCAGACCAGAGCTGACTGTGACACTGTCTGAAGTGTGGCTGCACTTGGGTTTGTGAAGTGCTCTTGGTATCAAGTACCAAAAATAATCCATGGGCCTTTTGAACTTTGTGGGAATGGTCAGAGTCTTGGCTTTCACAAAAAAAAAGTTGTTTCTCATGCTAATTAAATATCTCCCAGCAATCCTGGCAGGCAGCAGCCATCTCATGGGTTAGCACAGAGAGTTCAGAATAGCTGAGCTGTGTGCTCTTGTCACTGCTCTCTGTCTCCTTGTTCTGCAGGGCCCTGCACCAGCTATCTCTGGGGATCTTGCCCATAACATTTTCTTTTACAGCCTTTCCTGGCCTTTAGCATTTCTTCTGCTATCCTATTATAGTTATAGTGGCTGGTTTCAGGTCTGCATAAAGAAACCTTTTTTTGCAGCACAATCTGGGTCATATAATTGGTAGCCACATTTTTCAGCTCCCAAATGATTCTCAGTCCTGATTTTTTGTGGGACTTCAGGGGCCCCACAAGTAATTGCTGTGGTGACTAGTGAATCCTGTGTATGCTGGCCTGTGAGATTCCTGCTGCCCACCAGCTGTGAATGTGGAGGAAGCTGAAAGACCTGCTAAGGTGGTGATGTTACCAAAGAGATGCTGAGATTGCACCATGGGAGGGTAAAGTTGCCTAACTTGTGTGGTGGTTTCTAGTCTTCTACCCTGAACCAGAGCACACAGTGTGTTTTGGTATCAGGCAGCTGAGCAGTGTATACAAATCCTTGTAGTTCAAAGCTTGCCTAGTATGAACTGTCAGGGCAGGGGAGGAAGAGTCACAGCTAGGGTCTAGCCACCAAGACTGCCTTTTAGGACAGACAGTGTGAGAGACCAACTCCTCTTCTAAAAGAATCTCACAGCTGTTTTCTTCCCTGTGCAGGAACCCTTGACGGATGCAGAAAGGATGAAGTAAGTGTCCTGCTCCCCCTTTATGCCTGTCATACTGCAACTGCGTGGGTGCTGATTCCTCACATCCTGCTTGTGCCACCTGCGCAGTGAAGCTGACTGGCCCTGCAGGCTCCTCTCACATCTTCAATCTTCTTGGGGCCGTGTGGGCAGAGCTTTGGTCTGTGCCTTGCCAACCTGTGCCTTGCATGTCCCTCCCGCTGGAGGAGGAGGGAACATGGATCCCCAGTGCAGGTGCAGGCAGAGGAGTTGGTGGGTGTGAAAGAAAGTAGATGAAGTCTTTAACAGAGATGGAGAGAGGATTTTTCCCTTCTATTCATCCAACCTGGACTGGGATAAATTATTGATTGGTTTTCATTCATCAGTGAGGGACACTGGAGCTGTGCAGCTCATCTGTCTTTATGCAAGTGCTGTAACCTGAGAGGGAGCTAGGAGCTATGGCTGGCCAGCTGGCATGTACTTCTTTGCCCCTGCTCCAAGAGTGTTTGTCTGTCTGTCCTGACAGAGATGTGCCTCTTGCTTCATGCGTTGGAATTTCCTGCGTGTTCAGTTCCTGACTCCTGACTTCCTGGGGCCCCTGTGAGGGCTCTGGGGCCCTAGTGCAGGGCAGTGGGGTGGGGGGCTGGTGTGGAATACTCCTTGTGCACTCAGTGGTACCTTGCTCCTGGTTCCTGCCCCAGGCTGCTGCAGCATGAGAATGAGGAGCTTCGTCGACGGCTGACATACGTGACTAACAAAATGGAGGCAATGGAGAGGGAACTGGAGTCAGGTCAGGACTACCTGGAGATGGAACTGGGCCAAAACCGTGAGGAGCTGGAGAAGTTCAAGGACAAGTTCCGTAGGTATGACAAAGAAAATGAGAGGGATAGAGTTAGAAAGATCCCTCACACCAAAGACTCCCTCAGCTGGCATGAGCAGGTTGTGCCCTGTTGTGCAAATCAAAGGTGTGCTGCATCCTTGAAAAGGTGCACCTCCAAACTCGAGGGGAGATAAAGGCTCTGCAACCATTACTTCTTCCCAGGCACAGTGTAGGAATGCTGCCAGCATGAAAGGCTGATGACAGGGAATTCTTCATCTGTGGGATGTAAGCATGTGTGCAAAAAAAGCCACTGGTGGCTGCTGAAAAATACATCATTGCTTTACCTGAAAAGTACCTCACTTAAAAATCAGGGCCAGTCACCGGTCATGTGCTCAGATGTGACATAGCTCAGAGGAGTCTTCCAAAGTCATCTACATCCCCTCCTGCAGGATCCTTTCACCCTGCCAGCCTCATCTTGCCTCCAGTGACTTGAGGTCTGAAAGCCATCATGTGTCAGGGGTGAAGCATAGTTAATACGCCTGGTTGTCTTAGTAGCAGTCTTTATGAGTTCCAGAGTTGGTGGTTTTCTTGGCACCTGTGAAGCCAGCTTGAGTAGGTGCCTGAGATCCATTCCCAAGCATACAAACTTGTTTCTATAGGTTGCAGAACAGCTACACTGCTTCCCAGAGAACCAACCAAGACCTGGAAGAGAAGCTGCATGCCCTGGTGAGTGCCCTGTTAAGTCACTAGAGAGATGAGGTGCAAGAGACCAGTGCGTGTTAGGAGCAGATGGGGGAAGGGGCCCTGTCTTTGCCCAGCAGATGTGGCAGTGGGTGAGGGGTGAGGTTTTGGCCATGATCATCTACTCCCCGTTCTGGCTGGTGTCATGAGTGGTTTTCTTGATTTACTGAGCCTGTACTTGGTCATGCATGAGAGCTTTGGTTCCTCACAACATAATTGCATGGTATTCCGTCATGTTGCTTCAGTCCCTCTCAAAGTGCCAGGGATGTGTCAGCTACTCCTGGGGTGGTCATCCTGGGAGGACGGGGGCAGTCAGAGCAGAGCCAATGTGCGTGTATGTCTGTTGTGTGCATTCATAACACTCATGGCTGTTTCTTTTCTCTCCCTCCCCCTCTTTCTCTTTCTCCTCCCCACGCTGCCGCTGGCACACTCTGGGCGCACTCACCTCTCAGGCCTCTCTCAGCCAAAGCTGGATTTTTGCAGTTGCGTCTTTTCGTTTGTGTGTTTTTCCTTTTTCCTCTTTACGTGTCTCGGCCTGTTGGTCTCATTGTCAGTCCCACATACACCATCTCAGATGGAGGGGCCCCAGCCCTCGTCCAGCCGAGGGCTCACCTGGTATCCAGCAGCTGCCCGCAGATGCAGCAGGTCCTAGCTTGCAGGGCTCCATCTTAAGAGTGTTTGACTCTGAGCCAGCTGGAGCATGACATGTTGGGAAGTGGTGCCCATAAACTGCAGCACTGCATAAGGTGTGGATGGCTGTGAGCCTTGTTTGCTCCCTTTCCTTCCCCTCCTGAGCTGTGAGCAGGCAAGTCAAATAGCTGAGGTGCTGATTGGCTCTGTGTAGCCCAGGATGAGATTTCTTTGGTGCCAGAACTTGAATTTCTTGGGTTAATATTCACTACCAGTTATTCATTGTGGTGCCTGAAGAGGCTGCATACTGCTGAAGTACTGGCTCCCTTATCCGCCTGCCTGTTGCTGTGCTGTACCTGTGATGCACAGCTGGCCCTGCTGGCCACAGCCTCACAACACCCTTGGGCAGTTTGGAAGAACTTCTTGAGACAGTGACAGCTTAGTTGTTCTGAGGTGTTGTCCCTCTTTGCTGTTACATCTGAGGCTCTGTCAGCCCTGTACCTGAACTGTTAGGGAGTCTGAAGAGGCAAGGTTGCCTGCTTTATGGAGGGCATTAGCTGAACTTCAAATGAAGCAACAGGTCCTTTTACTTACGAGAGCAAGGCTTAAACTCTTGCAAGATGATGCCTTCCCCTTTTTGTCCATTCAGTATTGACTGTTGGGTCTTTTCTGGCAGTATTCTTGCTTTGGTTTCCCCAGGAAGGACGGCTGGGTATCAATCTCAGAGGTCTTTGCTTTCAGTGGCAGGTTGGGATTGATCACTCAAAGCCACTAGCTTTTTGTGAGGCACCATGGGAACCAGGGGCAGAGAGGAAACATGCTGATGCTGCAAGAGATACTGCATTAAGGAGGTTCAGACTCAACCTGTTGTCTCTGTAGCTAGCAGAGCAGCTGGTCCCATTTGGCTTTTGGAATCACCTTCCTTTGAAGAGGGTTGTCTCCCTTGTCTGTGTCTGTTTCTGTCTGTCTGTCTGTAAGTTTTTTGTATCCCAGCTGAACATGTCATTGTGCTATGCTTGGGCTGAGGTGGGTGGTACAGCCAGGTTCTGTGCTAGGGAGTTTTAAACCCAGTATTCTTGCATCCCAGATTAAAAAGGCAGAAATGGACCGCAAGACGCTGGACTGGGAGATTGTAGAGCTCACTAATAAATTGCTCGATGCCAAAACCACCATCAATAAGCTGGAGGAACTCAATGTAAGTGTCAGTCTGCAAATGGTTGTGAAAGTGTGTGAGGTGTGGGCTTTTCCTTTTGTTCAAAGACCTTAGTGTAAAGGAGCACATGAATGACTCCAGTGTGTATGGAAGTGCAGGAGCTGCACAGGATAGCAGGGACAAACAGAAGGGGGTCTGAGGGGTTGAACAGGGAAGAACGGATCTTCAAGTTTGATGTATTTGCTCTTTTAAGGTTAGGGTTTGACTTGAGTCTGGGCTGTACCTAAGGAGGGGTCATTCACTCCAGAGCTGGGAGGGAGCTGATGCCTTTTCTACACCATTAATATAGAAGTTCCTGGATCCAGTGCTTGTCTCTATTAACTGCTCTCAACTCTTTCCAGTCTGTCTGCATCATTAGATAGAGCTGAGCTGTGGGATGGGGGAGAAAAGGTGGGATTTTTGGGGATGGTTAAAATCCCCAGAGGGAGAGGGGCTTGATACACTGGCAGAGGATATGCAGGAACAAGGACTGGAGTTGAAAGACTGAGGTAAGAAAATACATAAAAGTATGGGGAGAGGGGAATGGCAGTACCCTCATGAACGATTCATCAGATGCCTCTTCTGGCTTCTGTTCAAACAGTATCTGGTCAGTTGGTGCCTTTTTGGGTAAGAGTTTGGGCGATTCTGACAGTGTTGCACACCTGTGCCCTCTCTTGCAGGAACGCTATCGACAGGACTGTAACCTTGCAGTACAGCTGCTCAAGTGTAACAAGTCTCACTTCAGGAACCACAAGTTTGCTGATGTGAGTAGTAATCCTGCTGAGGTGGGGAAGAAGGGCTCATGGGCTTTGACTGCATTTTGCTTTCTCCACAGGGCTGCTGGCCTCTCATCCTTCAGTCTCAGAGGTGGGGGAGGTTTCTGTTCCCACTCCCACTGAGAAGGCAGCACAGAGCTTCTGCCAGCTCCTCTTTCATGACAGCTCCATTTCACAGTTCAGCCAGGAGCTGTTATAAAAAGCACAATAACCTTGAACTTGATAGTCTGCTGGGTGCATGCTGGTAGCTGGCAGGAGAGCAGATCTCTCTCTTACTCTGCTCCATCCTTTTTCCTTCCTCTCCTGGCCACATGGAAGGGCCATACTGCCTCATAAGAAACAGCAGTAGTCTGACCTGATGTTACTTCCTACTCTGAGGAGAAATGTGTGAGGCAGCATTCAGGGTTTTCTTTTCTAGGCCTTCTGAGCAGGAGAAGCTGGTGCCAAATCACTGTCCCTTGTGGGAAGGGATGAGGGTGCAGTCAGCTCAGCTCATGCTGCTCTCATCTCCTTTCACATTAGTAGCATCAATTCTTTGGTTGAAAGTATCATCCAGGCCCTTAGCCCAGCTCTCTCTTTGCCATACCTCTAGTCTCTGTCCTCACTCCCTCCCCACTGTGGGGAGGGATGAGGGTGCAGTCAGCTCAGCTCATGCTGCTCTCATCTCCTTTCACATTAGTAGCATCAATTCTTTGGTTGAAAGTATCATCCAGGCCCTTAGCCCAGCTCTCTCTTTGTCATACCTCTAGTCTCTGTCCCTTCTTGTGTTCCTCCCAGCAAAACTACATGCCTGTCTTTTTTAACTTAGCAGGTGACCACTATGTCACCCTCCCCCATTGTGTCTCAAATTAGCACTCTTGAGGTCAGTGTATCAGTTACTGCTGGGGTAACCTTGACCTCTCTCCCAGCTGTCCCCCCTCTCTGGAGCTTTGAATTCTGTCCCCCAAAGCACTGTGTTCCACATGGCTGCCACTGGAGGGGGTTTGGTGCTGAGCAGCTGTGCACACAGCCTGCCTCACAGCCAGCTGTTGTTATGCAGTATGCCCTGCATGCCCAGATGTGGGTGTGGTTTCCTTCTGGCTGTGATGGGACAGACCTCGCTGTGCCACTGAGTGGCTTGGGGACCTCTGCTCTCCATGCTTCACTTGCCTGTGGTGACCCAGGTGAGGGCAGCTTGGCAGGGTAGTGGGGAGAGCAGTAGTGCCCATTTGCAGGATGAGGGGTAGTGCTTACCCCCTGGTGAGACCCAAGTCCAACAACTTTGGAAATTAGCCCGTATGTTTGTCTCTGTGAAATGGAGAAAGTGAGAAGCGGGGTGACATGTTGGAGTTGGTAGGGAAGGCATCGATCCTGGTCTGCAGGCAGGCTGCCAAGGCAGCATGGCTGCAATTATGCATTCAGGGAGCACTGTGGATCTCAGCAGTGGGGGATCTAGAGTCACTTCAGTGCAACCACCAGCTGATTTTCCACAGATCAATAGACCCCTTCCTAGCATGTGCTGGCTGGGCCTTGTCTCTGTGCTACAGGCATGTGAGACTGAGCCCATGTGCTGTCTTTACCTGTTTGCTTTGCCACATGGGGCCTGTGAACCATGGCCTAGAAGCATGACTGCTGTGACAGCTAGAGAGCCTGGTCAGTCACTCATGGGGCAGATTTGCTTTGAAAGAAGATAACCCTTCTGAAGGCAAGGTAGGTGAATGTTGGGGTCAAGATAATGACTACAAAATACACATGTAGGTTGGTTGGAAAATGCAGAGTATATGAAACTAAATTTCTTGCATGGTAGCCCCCTTCTAATGTCCTTTTCCTTCTCCCTAGCTTCCCTATGAGCTGCAGGACATGGTGAATAAGCATTTGCACAGCGCGCAGGAGTCTGCAGGCCCTGGCCAAGAGGCAGCCCACACCTTGGCTCCGTCTGATGTTGTGCCCACCTCAGTCATCGCCAGAGTCTTGGAGAAACCAGAATCTCTGGTTCTGAATTCAGCCAAGTCTAGCAGTGGCAGCTGTCCCATGGCTGAGGATGTCTTTGTGCATGTGGACATGAGCGGAGCCCTTTCTGATGCCTGCAACAGTGCAGGGCAGATGGGGAAGGAGGGAGGAGATGCGGGGAAGCAGCAGAATGGTGGCTGCAAGCCGCAGAGTAGTGTGGAAAGTGTGCCTGAGGAGGTGCCTGCCTTTGAGAAGCTAAGCCCATACCCTACTCCCTCACCTCCCCATCCTATGTACCCGGGGCGCAAAGTGATTGAGTTCTCTGAGGACAAGGTAAGGATCCCAAAGAACAGCCCCCTGCCCAACTGTACGTATGCTACGCGCCAGGCCATCTCCCTCAGCCTGGTGCAGAGCGAAGATGAGAGCTGCGACAGGCACCGGACTCTCCCCAGCAGCCCTGCTTCAGAAGGGCGCCGTTCAGCCTCCAGCTGCTCCTGTCAGCAGTCCCCCAAAGCAGCCAGGGCTCACGGCTCTTCCCAGAGCAGCCCGTTCAGCAGCCCTCCCCAAATCCCGAGCGCCTTTGCCAGCTCTGCCAGCTCTGAGGAGGACCTGCTGGCTAACTGGCAGCGTATGTTTGTGGATAAGGCCCCCCCCACCTCGGAGCGAGTGCTGATGAACCGCACGGCTTTCAGCCGGGATACAGCCCCCGAGCTCCAGAAGAGGTTCAGCCGCTCCATGCAGGAATTGGGTAGGGCATCCTCAGCTTACTCGGATGGTGAGGAGTCTGCACAGAGCTGCAGCTGGACCGTGAGCCGGGACTCAAGCGTGGACACAGACAGCACCGAGTCCAGAGCCCGCAGGAGCCATTTCTCCTCAGACTATGGTACAGATTTCTCCCAGGATGAAGCCCAGAAGCTGTTGCTTGAAAGCGGGGGAGGCACTGCTGAGCCTGAAAGCCCCTCACCAGAGAAGCACAAGGACTATGTAGACCTTGGCTTGCCTGAGAGCCCAGGTGAAGAGAGAGAAATGCTGCTCCAGGGAAACAAGGAGAGCAGCCAAGGAGGTGTCCAAGAGGAAAGTGGAGAAGGCAGGGTCAAGCCTCCTTTCAGTCGGCCGCACCGCAGCCCCAAGAGGATGGGGGTGCACCACTTACATCGCAAAGACAGTCTGACACAAGCCCAGGAGCAGGGCAACCTTCTCAGCTGAGGCACAGCAAGAAGCAGCCATGCTTAGCAGAGCTGTGGGATACCCCCATCAGTCCGCCTGAGGGAGAAGCCTCCCTTAGTACCCTCCTCCCAGGGAAAATCTGCTCTGAGGTTTTGTATTTATTCTCTTCTTTTGCTACCTGGAAGAGCTGGGATCTCCCTTCCCTGGCACCTCAGACCCTCAGTACAAGCACACACAGTGTGCAGAAGCACACCCACTGCCCCAACACACTTGCAGCTCTCTTCACAGCCTCACAGTGGTGCCTGTACCAGAGCTAGTTCTTGGTACCCCTTGTCCTGGTGCCTGTGCCTCTTTTTGCTCTCATCCCCCTTCCCACTCAGGTACCTGAGGCCCTGGGTGCTCTCCTGTTGTTTCCCCACAGATGCTCTGCTCTCTTTTAACTTGTGCCAACAGGGCAGAGTGCCTGTGTGGTGGTGTCTGATTCCCTGGGAGCCCCAGCGGCTGTGAGTGGGGCACAAGGACTCTCCCAGCAGATGGCTGTGTGCCATGGGGATGAGCTGGGATTGCTGGTGTCTCATTTTGCTCCTGGATTTTGTTTTCCCCAGCCACCCACTGGACGGGTCTTCAGAATCTGCCTCTGTGGGTCTCTGTCACGTGTCTCCAGGGCTGGGCTCGGCACCTGGTCCCCACTGAAGCAATGCACAGGGGCTGGTGCTGTGGTGTGGGGCATGGGTGCTGCTTGCTGAGGTGGTTTGGGGAGGCAGTGCCTGCTGGGCTCTGGGGTTTGTATTTGTGTGTCTCCTCCCTCACACCTCTTCCCCTGTTCTCTGTGCTGTTGTTTTGTTTGAACGGTGCTGATGCTTTGCTCTTGGGTGGGCTTCTTTCTTCTTTCCAAGCCTTTGGTTTTGGGGTGTATTGTTTTCTCTTTCCCCCACCCTGCATAAACAGACACAGCCGTTGGCAGCCAGTCTGATGCCTGCACTGAGGGTGTGTTGAGGAGTCTCAGCTATCAGAGCTGCACTTCCCTCTGATCCTGGCCTCCAGCCTGCAGAAACCCCTCCAGATCTAAGAACAAGGTTTTGCCCCAGGCAAGCAAGGCATGAAGGATGCTACCGGGCTTTTCTGGGAAGGGCTTGGTGCAGGGCCAGCAGGGATGTGAGGGCAGCATGCTGAGGAGCTGCTCCCTGCAGATGCACTACCTCATGGCTCGGCAGCAGCCCTTCACCAGGGTCTCCTTGCACGCCCCCTTCTCTGGGGGGCTCCAGGCTCTGGTGCCTCTCTGGGGCCTCCCTTCCTGGGTAGGGCTCTATGTGTGTTTTCCCTAGTGTAGTGTGATATTGTGTGACTTTTCTTCGCAGTCTTGTGTGCTCAGTGTCTTGTTGGGGGGGAGGGAAGGGTAGAGGTCTGTAGCTGTAGGTATTTTTTGGGGGGCTTACAAAGCCCAGACCTCCTGTTTTAATTTTGTCCTGTGCCCTTGTCTGTCTGGTGTTTCTTGGCTTCCATGGGCGTACAGGGCAGAGAACAGCCCAGTTCCCTACACCATACCCCCTTCAAACCCTGCCCTCAGCCTGCTGTCTGGTTTTTGAGTTGGGTTTGTGTTGTCCTCCCACCCTACACCAAACAGGCCCTTCATGGGGCTGGAGGAGAGCATCCTTCTCTCCAGGAGGGAGCATCTGTTCGTATGCTTACATCAAGATTTGCAGCCAAGAGCTGTCTGGGGGGCCTGCTCCCCTCCCCAAACCCCTGTCTCTGTAAAGGGCTTGCAGCTTGTAGCTGGGGCCAGCCAGGGCTTCAGCTTGAGCCTGGAGGCTCCAGGGCCAGTGAAGGGGAGCTGCAGGCCTCTCTGGCAAGTTGTGTAGGTTGTTTTATGTACCCTGGGCAGAGCTGCTGCCTACACACTCACCTTGTTTCCCACCTGGAACAGTTGTAGAGTTGGATGCCACCCTCTGGTGGGGAGGTGGGACTCAGTATTTCACTGCAGTGTTTCGCTGTGCAGACAGGCTGAGTGGGAGCCTCCTCTGAGCCTGCAGAGTGTTTATCTCCCCTGTCCCAGATGAGGAGGGGTGGGGGGATGTCCTTGTGCTTGTTGCCATCAGCCACTCCACTGCTGCATTTCTTTTGTTCTTCTGCAGCACTGCTGAGGGTTTGCATCTGAAGCAGCTGCCAGATCCTGCCTCACAGATGTCACCTGGGCTTGGCTGCTCACTGAGTGAGCTGCTCTGAGGCTGCTGGTGGCCTGCAGCGGGGGAGGCATTGTGCTCCAGAGCTCAGCCCCATCTCCCCTGAATCCTGGCATGCTGGTCAGTGGACAAAACTTTTGCTGAGGCAGCTGGTGCTGATGATGCTGAACAGAGCTGGCTTCGCTCTGCTTTTGGTAAAGGCAGACTGAAAAGCAAAACAGTGAAGTGGAGGGGTGGCAAAGGTATGCCCACCACCTCACCAGACACTTGTGCTTTGCAGCATTAGGATGCTGGCCGAGGTTGAGGGGGACTGGTGGCCTCAAGCAGCAACAGAGCCCCCTCTTGCCCTGTGGGCATTGTGTCCTCTGCACTCCTGCCCACCTCCAGCAGTATTGGCTCTGGGGCCTTGAGCCCATCTGAGTTCCAGTGTCCCAACTCCAGACTGTTAATCTGTAACTAATGTGTTTTTTTCTGAGATTTTCAAACTGATGTATATTTTAAGACCAGAAATAAACTATTTTAAAAGTAGATGGCAATGGCTATATTGTACTTGATACTGGACTGGAATGATCCTGAGCATGTGTAGCTACTTATGGTACAGTGTCCCAAGTTTGTTGAACTGTGTGTGCCACCCATTGTCTCGTTCAGGGAGCGCGATGCTGTGACCTGTAAGCGGGTGCTGTTAGTACCCCTCAGCGTTACTCTTAAGATTCTGCCTACAAAATTCACGTATTTTGCTGGCTGTGCTAGCTGATCTGCCTTGGCCAACCTCTACATTCTCATGGTGCTGTTAGCACCCCTCAGCGTTACTCTTAAGATTCTGCTTACCCTATTTCACATATTTTGCTGGCTGTGCTAGCTGATCTGCCTTGGCCAACCTCTACATTCTCATCTAGTGTAGGATAAGATGTACCTAATCCTTTTAATAGCTGTTGGTTTTCTCGGACTCCCAGCTTTTGGAGTCATCTGAGAGTGTCACTTCACTTCAGAAACCAAGTGACATGGGGCCACGCACCATACCCCCTTGCTGGGGTTCCTAAGAGGTTTATAATTCTAGATTCAGTATTGTGTGTGAGGAGGGAGGATTGGGACATACCCCAGTCTGGAAGCCCTCCAAACATGAGGCAGAGAGTTCCTGCAGGATGCTGATACAGACAGTTGGAAGTGTTTCCTTTTCACATTGAAGGGTGCTGCAGAGGCCAGAGAGTTGTGATGAATTTTCCTCCCTCTCCCAGGTTAGGCTCTCTATGCCTTTCTGAGCTGGCTACATGCAAGCCTAACACTAGAAAGAGTGTCTTGTTTCTTTGTCCCCCTAATTAATGATTTTATTCCTTGTTCCCTTGAGTAGCAGCTGCTACCACAATTTAATCTTCTAGCCTAATCTGAGCCTTGAAACACGATCTTCCTTGTCAGCAAGGGACGCTTGGCAAAGCTAGGCAGCGCAACCCGCGGTGCTGGTGCGGGCTGAAGCCTTCACCGGGGTGTGCACGGCTGGTGTCAGGCTCCCTGCAGAGCTAGATTAGCCCAGCCCGTTTCCTCCTGGCCCGAGGGAGGGCCGGGGGGACAGAACACTGTGCTGTCCCCGGTCTGTCCCCGGCCTGTCCCCAGGGCCGGGGCCGAGGCGCGGGAGGGCCCGTGAGGCGGCGGGCGAGCGGCTGCCGCCCCCTGCCGGCGCTCCAGGCCCGCGGCTCCTGGCCGTGCCGGGCCTGGCCTGGCCCACAGCGCCTGGCACCTGCCCGGCCCTGCCGGCACCTCCCAGCCCCTGCCCGGCCCTGCCGGCACCTCCCGGCCCTGCCGGTGCCTCTCGGCACCTCCCAGCCCCTGCCCATATCTGCCGCTCTCTGCCCATACCAGCTGGTCTCTGCCCGTGCCTGCCGGCGCCCGCCCTCCCGGGGTCGCACAGTCGCGGAGGCGGACGCTGCCGAGTGGTACCACCACATCTGTGACCTTTATAAAAGTCTCACCGCGACAGCAGTACAAGCGATAGAAAGGACATCTCTTATACACATCTGAATAAATACAGCCTGTGCCCTGCGGGCGCAGCCGGGCGGGGGGGTGGCAGGGCGGCTGAGCTACACATGCGGCGACGGGGACAATCACAAGCGGCCGAGGGACGAGGCGTGTGGCGGCACGGAGACGTGTGAGAGATTCGCTCGGAGCCGAGCGAGGCAGCGGCGGGAGGTGAGATGTGCGAGAGGAGGGCTGGGGAGCCCGGCGGAGGCTGGGTCTGGTCTGGCGGGTGCACGGGGCTCTGCTCGGCAGAAGCAGGCAGGGTAGCCCAGCTACATTTCTGTTTCTGCCAAGAGGCTGTCACCGAGGCCCGATGTCATCAGCACCATCTGGGAGCTGGAATCTGTGTGGAGAGAAGGAGAGAGCCATGAGCCGTTCCGGCTGCCGGAGAGCACAGGGGATGTGCTCCAGATCCAGAGGTGAGGATGGGGAATTGAAACACAGCAGGATGGGAAGAAAGCTTCTGAGAGAAGTGTGAGATTAAGCAGGAACTAGGCCTGCTCTGGCTGCAGAGCAGCAGAACAGAATGGATTTTTGGGGAAGGGGAGAAAACAGAGACAGCAGCAAAAGGCCAGAGGAACATCAGGCCTGAGTACCCCCGACATGCAGGTGATCCTGGCTGCACTGGCCCAGCCGTGCCCTTACCCAGCCCTGCACAGGCCTTTAAATCTGCACTCATCCAGTGTTTTTCAGTAGAGAGACAGTGTCCAGGTGGGGCAGGCTTCAGGCTGCACGCCAGCCAACACCACACAGGGTGGTGTTGCCTTCCCAAGAGCAGGGAACGCTGTGGGCAGTCAGCCATGTTACAGCAGCAGAGGCCTGGAAATACTGACTTTCTGCACTGCATGAATGGAGGGTTTGTACAGCCCTCCCCTGCCTGCCTCGGGGAGGTGAGGGCAGCTTGCTGGCTCTGCCATGGCTCAGAGCCACAGCCAGGAACACTGCGACTCTCCCCACAGCAAGTGAATCAACTGCAAGGAGAATGGGCCTGCATAGCAAGTAAGAAACTTAGCAGGGTACTAGTTTCCCATCCAGAAGCCTTTTGAAATGGAAAAAACCATGTTTTTTCCTGGGTGGGAGGGAGGAGATCTCTAGTGGCAGTCCTGCACATTCAAAACTACTGCAGGGGAATCTCTATTTCAGGAATCAATTTCTGGAAGCTAGATCCAAAACTTAGCCAAACTGTCACAAAATTATTTTTATGGGTTTAATAGTTGAGGATCCAGATGTTTTGAGGCTCAAGGATTGGTTGTGCTTGTCTTCTGGTAGTCTGATATGAGAATTGTGAAGGGTGAAGGACAAATGAAGGTAAAAAAAAGCAAACACTCAAACCAGCTGGATCACAAGGTAGGCATGACAAAATACAATATCATATATGCAAACTACACAGAGCAGGCTACTGCTATCTCTGTTATACACCTTTTTGCCATTACAAGCAACAGACACACAGTGGCATCTGGCTAACCCTTCACGAGTTTGGGACGTAGAGATAGGAACAGCTGATGCTGTGCGGATTGCAAAGAGGTTCTGGAAACAGTGAGGAATGACACAAGTTTTGGCTAGGATATCTGGCAAAGGCTCCCAAGATCTTTAATATTCCTGCCCTTGAGTTTTAAGACTTTCAGATTTCGTTCTGCAGCATCAGGAAAAAGCCTCAGAGGTACCATTTCCACTCTTTGCAGCAGCCGCATTGTCCTTGGAGGCTGCTTTCCAAGAGAGGCACAGCCCAACGCTGTTTAGCATGAAGGTCGTGCCTGGAGGTGTATGTATTCCATAGAGGTTGTATGCAGTCCATGGAGGTGTATGCATTCCATGGAGGTGTATGCATTCCGTGGGGGTTATATGTATTCCAGTACAAGGGGAAAAGGGAGAGGTGCATTCACCAACCCCACTGCAAGAGGCCAGTGGCACTGGAAACACCTGAGACACCCCAGGAGCCCCTCAGCTCCTGCCCCCCAGACCAACTCCCAGAGCTCTTACTGTTCTGGCAGATCCAGGGGTTCTTCTCCCTGGCTGTGACTTCGTGGACCTCTGTCTCCTCCTCTTCCTCGCCCTCTGAGAGAAGATCAGAGATCTGCTGCTGCAGCTCAGGACTAATGTTGTTCTCTGCCAGGATGAGTGTCCGTAGGGCTGTGGGGTAATTCTCTACCATGTCCAGCAAGGTCTAGGGGGAGAGCAAGATAAACAGGCTGACAAACTTCACAAGGGCTGAGCAGAAAGAGTGTCAGTGCTTTGTCTCCCTGAACTCCAGCCCTCCTCTCCTTACTTCTACCTTCCCTTGACCCCCCCTTCATCAGGCTTTATGAGAGACTGAGGACTTCCCATCTTCCTGTGGCAAGAGCCAAGCTTGGATTTTCTGGCTCTATCTAAAGAAGGGACTGCTCTACACTGTTGCTGTCACATATCCAGGTCCATTCCCTATTACCACTAGAAGCTGGAGATCTGAGAGGAGTGTGCAACTGAGCCTTGGCCTGTGTTTGTCCACAGAGATTTAGATCTGATTCTCAGCCAAAAATCCAACTTCATTTCTTCCAAGAAAACAGCCAGGGAAAAGCAAGAATCCCCCTGGTGCACGGAGGGAAGGGGGTGCATGTGGACTCCCACGTGTGGGTCCAGGCAGGTGTGGGTCCTGCAGACACCCCAGACTGTGCCCCTGAGGCGTCTGTGATGCTGTAGAGCAATTGTGAATTACTCATGTGGTTGGAGGCAGGTGTGGGTCCTGGAGCCACTGCAGACACCCCAGACTGTGCCCCTGAGGTGTCTGTGATGCTGTAGAGCAATTGTGAATTACTCACCTGAGCTGACTGGTTGGTAAGTCCTGTTCCCTCCAGGTCCAGCACTTCGAGGGTTCGACTGGAGGCCACAGCCACAGCGAGCATCCCGGCTACCTGGTCACCTGTGGGAGGAGCAAACCAGGGGGGTCAGCAGTGCCTGCCTTTCCTCACCTAATGCCACATGCCATGTGCCCTGAGGCTGCCTTGGGAACATCCTCTGAGTATTTCTGCCATCAGACAACCTTCCAAATCTGTTACCTCATTGTGGAAAAAAAGCTGTTAACTGAGAAGAGAGACAAGGAAAGGTGTACCATTTTGTGGTTATGGGAGCAGTCACTGATTATCAGGGGAACACAAAGGAACACTGTGAGACTGGTTTTATTCCCCAAAGAACCATATCTTCCCAAATCTCCTTCCTAGTCAAGGAGGCAAGGGCCTTTAACAGTCCCTGTAGGGCATCCCACACACAGAATAGGAGCTGAAAGGCTGAAGTCAAACAGAGGACTCTGCACCAGCTGGCAGACTGCATCCCTGGAAAGGGGATGGAGGATGGAGCAGGATGAGGAGCACTAAGATTGATGTTGGTGAAGAGACAAGACTCCAGAATGTGTTCTGACATTCTCTGTCAAGTGTCAAGATGCCATACAACTGGGACACCTTCTCTTGGAACAAAACCCAGCCTGCTGTCAAGTAACACCTGGGGTTTTTCCTGTCCAAGAGGAGGTACCTGGTCAGAGAAGAGGG